TAAACAAATGCATTAGGGTATATATTGAATTTGAACAAAACCTTTTAAATATAAATTAGAGATGAAGATTACGGACAGAAAGAGCCAGAAGAACCTTTTATTCTTCCCAAATACGGTAGAGACCAAGGACAGATTAGTAACAGAAAGAATTCTCAAAAAATGCTGTTCTGCTTTCTCTAAGAAGCTGGGAGCCCAGTCTTCCTCGTGTGATAGAGATGAGGGTTGAGTGGGCACACAGCTTCCTTACCCAGATACCATCTCTCTGCAAAAGTGAGCATTGAAATGCTTCTGTTTAGCAACAAAGAACTATTTTGTGAGAGACCTACCCTACCCTAGAGACATCTCTAAGGATGTGACTCTCCTTTATTATTCTCACAAGCAGCTCACTGAAGTAATAGCAGACACCACTGGTCTAGTGCATACTGTGTTGGATAGTGCTAAGAATCTGACATGATCTCCAGAGAGTTTTAATAACTTGCCCAAGGTGACCCAGCAGGGAATAAGTGACAGATAGAAATCAGAACTCGGTATGTTAACTTCAAAACCTCTTTTTCTTTCAGCTATTAATTGCCAACCATCTACATACTAAAATCTTATATAATATTCTGTTCAATTATTCTGGCACTCCTGCATTGGACACAATACTCCTTATCATTGTATGGATGGTTCTAGCTTGCCTTCTGGATGTAATTTAAAATAGGTCCTGGAGAGGTTTCACTATGAATGATGAAACAAGTGGTGCATACTGTGGGGAGAGAGAAAAATATCTGTTTTAGATGAAGTGGGAACTACTATTTAATTTATAAAATTGTTATTGATTTAACATTTTGTAAGTTAGGGAGTTGAGCTTCACACTTCTGTCTGCATATATACCACCCACCACCAAATTGGCTGTGCCAGTCACAGTAGCTGATTTATTCCACACACCCCTTCAGCTTTGGTACCCACCATAGGGAAATATTAAAGGTAGTTTCAGGGACTTTTGGAGAAGGAAAGGGCATCTGTGTACATACAAGGTAAGCAGGTTCCATTCAGTGAAAAGAATTGAAAGGGAAACTGAAAGAAAATACTGCAGGGAAGCTCAATTAGGAAAGCAAGTCATAGTTGATAAAACACCCATCTCAGTGCCAGCTCTTTGTCAGGTCTTATTTCCTCTCTGGGTGCTATAAAATTGCAAGAAATAAGACAAATCTCTTCCTCCATTAAACCAATATCTATTAAAGAACACAGAAAATGTATAGCTAAACACTTGTTAATATGTCAGAGACTGAAAAGTAATATGAAGAAAGTCAAAGCAGAGTAGGAAGCCCAGCGTAGGACAGCGGACCTCATTTTAGAAAAAATGGTTAGGAAAAGCCTGTGTGAAGAGTGAGGAGCTGAGTAAGAAGAGAATTACGTAACAATGTGCTTGATGAATAGAGATGCAAAAATGATCTGTGAAGTATTAGCAAACCAATTGATCAGCAAATTGAAAAGATCATTCCACCACTAAGTGGAATGTGTCCCTGGTACACAAAGATTTTACAAAGATTTTACATGTCTGTACACGAGCTATGAAAAAAACCCTAAAAGGCAATTAGGAAAATAAGTCCATTTATACAGCAGCACTGGAAAGAATAAGAAGATGAAAACTTATATATAGAAAACTCAAAAACATTTGCTGATAGAAATTGAAGATGATGCAAATTGAAAAACATCTTGTATTCACAAATCAGACTTTATAGTGCTAACTACTACCCAGATTAATCAGTTTTAGCACAATCCTTGTAAAATCACAATGGAATATTTTTACAGCAATTGTTTTACATTAGGAAAACAATTCTTAATGTTCATGTGACCCCAAATGTCAAAACAATCTTGAAGAATAAAATTTTCTAATTTTAAAATGTACATAAAAAGTATATTAATTTAAACCATATGGCACTGGCAGAAAGACAGCCATATAGGCAGACTAACACTTAGAAATAAATCCTTCCATATACAGGCCACTGATCTTTGTCTAGGATGCCAAGACTGCATGGCAAAGGGAAGAAAGTCATGTTATGAAAACTGAATATCAGCATGTGAAAGAATGAAGTTGGGCCCTTATACAAAATCTAATTTAAATTGAACGAAAGACTTAAACATATGGCTATAAAGGTATTACTCCTAGATGAAACATGGGGAAAAACTTCATGAATGATGATTGCTTAGAAGTGACAACAAAAACACAAACAATAAAAGTGGAAACAGACCCATGACTTATGTCAGACTAAAAAGTTTCTACAAGGCAAAGGAATTAACAGTGTGAAATGGTAACCTATGGAATGGGAGAAGATATTTACAAACCACATATCTGATAGGGGTCAATAAGCAAACTATGAGGAACTCTTACCAACTCAGAAGTGACAGCAATAACAAAACAGTCTAAAAGTGGGCCAAGGAGTTGAATAAACCTTTTTCCCAAATAAGCATAAAACAAGAAACAGGTATATGAAAGTATGCTCAACGTCACAAGTCATAAAGGAAATGCAAGTTAAAACCACAGTGAGTCATTCACAATGATGAATGAATCACACCTGTTAGCAAGGCTGTTATACCAAAAAAAAAAAAAAAAATCAAGCATTGGCAATGCTGTCAAAAATTGAAACTTCAGTATACTGTTGCTGAGAATGAAAGGAGGTATAATTGCCATGCAAAGCAGTATGGAGGTTCCTCAAAAAGTAAAAGAACTGCCATAAGATCCAGCAATCCCACTTCTAGAAATGACATTCAAAATAATTGAAAACAAAATCTCACACCGATTTTCACTGCAGCATCATTCATAATTGCCAATACAAGGAAACAACCTAAATGTTTATCAGTGGATAGATAAAATGGCATGTTATTCAGCCTTTAAAAGAAGGAAATTTTGCTTCATAAGCAAGATGAATGAATTTTGCAGACATTGTGTTAAGTGAACCACTTATAGTAGGACAAGTAAATTTACTTATGTAAGGTACCTAAAACACTTGACTCAGTGAAGCAAAGATTGGAATGGTGGTTTCCAGTGTCTGGGGGAAAGGGAAATGGGAATTGTTATTGAACTAATACAAAGTTTCACTTGTGCCAGGTGAGTAAATCTAGAAATCTGCTGTATAACCTTAGAGTTAACAATACTGTGTTACACACTCAAACATATGAAATGTTTTTACCACAATTTTTTCATAATTTTATTACAGGAACATGGACGTACAACACTATTTGATTTCAGGATATAGGTTCACGCCTCTTCAGATGTATTTGTCACTTCACCCCCACCAAAGCCCCAAAGTCTTCCACGGTAGTCCACTGTGTGCCCCCCCTTGCCTCCCAGTCGCCCACCTTCTCCATCTGGTAGCCTCAATTCTACAGTCAGATTCTTAACACAATTCTAAAATGAAAAAAAAGTCAATGGTAAGCTGTTGAGGAATGTTTAGTAGAATGCTTGTTTAACCATTGTTATTCATGCTTAGTGTTGGTTTCCAATGAAGCCTTCCATGAGGCAGTCTCTTCCTTCACGTGGTCCTTCATGTAGTCAGGCTGCTTGGATGTCCAGTGTGACTGCATGATGAAAAGCATTCAAGAAGTGTTAAGCTGTCTGTTATTTTCCTTACTACTTTGAAACACCTAAAGTGTATCCTCACTTTGAACTAACATCCTTATTCAGGTCAAGTTGCTCTCAGAGACTGATCGGTATATTGGCAAATAGCATAAACCAAACCTCATCTACTAACAGAACAGATGAATTTTTATATATTTGGTAGCTTAGGGCTGGATCCAGCAGAAGGGTGATGTAACACTCAGAGATTTGGGGTGAAGAAAAGGAGGAGAAAGTCTTCAGAAAAAAGAGGGCAGTCTGGTAGAACCAGGACTGGCTTTCATCTATGCTGGGGACCAGCCCTTCCTGTGCTCCTACCTTGTTGTGCCATGATTGACAGTCCTTCAGGAGAAGCTCACACCAGGAAAGTTACTTTTTTCTTTCACTTTTTTTTTTCTTTTCTATAAAAGCTAGCTAAATATTGCACCTGTCACCATGACCTAACTGTAGCTCCATCCGCTAAGCAATTGGCGACCGTTGCTAAGTGCTGTAAATGTAGCTTGTGGGAAATGGAATATTCCAGTGTAAAATAGGAAGTTAAATGTCCTTATCTGGAAAGTGAGGGTATCAGGCTAAGTGATCAATGTGATGGTTTAAGTTAAAACTATCTGTGAAACATTTATATGTCTGTAAATACTTTCACTCTTCCTGTGATCTCTGAGGATCTTTATGAAGTCTGAAATTGTCACAAGGTGACTCTTAGTTGAAATGTCACTGACAGCTTGTGGTTTGACCTTTTTTTTTTAACTCCAGGCAGAAACTACTAGAAACCATTAAACAACTGCAAGGAGATGCTGTCGACCAGGAAGCCATCCTCAGGAAGAAGGTCCAGGAAGTCCACCAATGGGCAGAAGAATCAGAGGGGCAGGCAGGGTGGCCTTTGACAGTAGAGTACTCAGGGGAAGTCTCCTCAGATGTCCTTAAAGCCATAAAGTAAAAATGGAGGAGGAACAAAAAAAAAAAAAAAAGCAAAGAGGAACTGTGAAGTTCAGTCCCTCTCGCCCAGCAGAGAGCGGAGGAAGTGAAGGGGGAGTTGTAAAAGAGGCGGTGTCAACAACCTGCTGATGAAATAGGCCACTTTGCAGAAAGAGGCAACTTGACATATCGGGATGTTTGGAGCTGTAGAAATAGCTCAGGCGTCTAGAGCCCATGCAGACACAGAACTGCAGAAGTTAAGGGGAAGCTTGTCACTTCCCTGAGAAGAAAAGCACATTTTCAGTTTTGTGAGCATAGTAACAGGGAGCCGTCCGTGGCTTTGGCCTGGCCACTGCTAAAATACAGTGTTCACTTTGCATGTTTAGGTGAAGAAGCAGGATGAGACAGACCACCCTGCTGGAGAAAAAGCCAGGTTTTGGCTGCATAAATTAGAGGAAGCAATTTCAGAACAACGGAATCTCCAGACTATAAATACTGAGCTAGCGAGCACTTGCCAAACACTTGAACAGACGCCGAGAAAGCTGAAAAGTGAGTAGTAGATGTTCGTTCTGTCCCAGTCCTGTCCACTCAGAGGTGGGGTGGAGGGACTACAGCCGTTTTCTAGATGCCAGCTGTTTCAGTATTAATACTGAATTTGTGGCAGGGAAATGGTTCCTGAAGCAGCGCTCTGAATTTTCACAGAGATTTGCCTAGTGGCTGGGGGATGGATTTAACCATTAACTTTGCCTCTTGATTTGCTTATTAGCAGCTGGATTTTCCTGTGTTTGTCTGTCATTTCCTTAAAATAACTACTAATATCTTAATATCTGTAAAAGTAAACAAGGAAAAACAATCTTTTATGTGTGGGGTGTTTAAGCTTACAGATTGTTTACCTAATAGTTCCTTGATTTTCTAGCTAGTTTTTAATTTAGTTTTTATTAATAGAGAGCTAGGGCCCTCTATTTTTAACAAGTAGATGTAGGGTTGGGCAAAATACTTGTGATACCACGTTTCGATTATGAAATGTGTGAAAATTCTTTAAAGTTTTTAAATATGTTCTTGGCATATATATATTTTGCTGTAAAAATTGGAATGCCATTGTGTGTGTGTGTGTGTGTGTGTGTGTGTTACCTAAACGTGAATAAGCATTTAGGTGAGATGACATTTGTCAAATTGCATGCCAGGATATTTGTAGACTTGTTTTATTCTAGAAACATAATTCAGTAGAAATTATTTGACCATTTATCACATCGAGGCATTTGTTCAGCCAACTTCTAGTCAAAAATCCTTTTATAGAAAATTGCTGCCTTGGTTATCAAACAGCAGGGTAAGCTTCAGGTAAACTAGACATGGAAATGTTCAGACTTGTGTTAGTTTGGGATTTATTGTAACCTTGGTACTGCAGGCTTGGGGGGCTGCCCAGGAGTTTAAAGGGATTGACTAGCTCTATAATATCAATATTCGACATTTTATTACTTTTTTAAACCTTGCAGAACTCAGTAGTTTCAATAATTCTAACTATCAGTTTATTTTGGTTCATTCTGTCAAGCAGTGTGCAGCATGCTTGACATTACATAATCTGTTGTTTTATGATTGTTCTGAGGGTTTTGGAGACGGTTCCTTTGTGATTTTGACACATAAGTAATAAGGTATTTTGAATTTGGGCTCAGTCATATTTGCTTTAGTCACTGTGCTTGGAGCACTAACCTTTTAGTACAGTCAGATTCATCAGTGACATACCCCATCGTTTTATAAACCTCAGAGTGTATCTCCCACTGCTTGATTTCCTTGCAATGCCTCCTGTCAAGAGCTTGCTTTTGTGATTTACCTCAGAATGTACATTCTTGATATTACGAGCTTGTTGTTCTCTTCCCAGTTTATCGTTAGGGGAATAGTGGTCCAAATATTATAAAAACAGTATGAGAGCTGTCCTAGGCTGAATGCATCTATTTTGTGTGTGTGTGTGTGTGTGTGTTTCTGCATCCACAGAGCAAACGCCTCCTCTCTGCTTGCAGTCACTTGCTTAATAAATCCACTAGCTGTTTGCATCTTTTGCTAGCCAAAGAAGACCTACATATTAAGATTTTGCTTGTTGAGCCATTTGCTTAGGATCTTTCAAATAATTCCTTGGAAAAATCAAACTGGGGGCGGGGATTTCAGTAGCACGTGTTTTCAGATGTTCTAGATAACAGATTTGCCAGATTAGACTGTGAACAAATGGCAGTGAGCTAGGGCAGCTATCACAGAAGAACCCTCCACACATGCTCACCACTGCCGCCACCCCATGCTGCTTGGATTCTGAATCAGGCATTTGAGTTCCAAGTCAGAAAATAAAAATATTTATGTCCCTTTGGTTCTCATGAATCTTTCTGGTTAGCTTAGTAAATCCATTAAGGGGATTGTTTTCTGCTGCCTTTCATTACAAATGAAGGCAGCTATTCTTCCTGGATGTTCTCATCAGTGACAGTATCCACAAACTAGAATTAGGAAGCGGTTCATGACATCTGATTAGAAACCATGAACTTGAGGTTGAGTGAATAATAGTGTTCAAGTGTCCCAGACCTACCAGGACCACACTGATCTATATGAGAAAATTCTCATAAGCACGTACCTCTGTGACCTGGACCAGTAGAAACCTGCTAAATTTCATGAATAGTTACTTGGATATTTTCTTTGTCTTTTTGCCTTATAAGTTTCTAAGTATGTTGTTTTAAAAGATCTATAAATAGATATTCGATTTCAAAAGCAAACAAAGCTTCTAAAAACAAAGTATGCATACAAACATGTTGGGTAAATCTAATATATAGGAATCGAAGACTAATTGATTAATCCAAAGTGCCTGTTACTATTCACCCTCTTTGGCTCTAACCTTAAATCTTCATTTAGTCATTCATTTAATCAGTAATAAAAGAATTATCTTTGGGAGCCACAAATGTTTCCTTAGGGAAAGTTCCTGAGAAGTCTACAGACTATAATTGCTGTGAACATTTCAACATAGTATCTGGGTCTGAACTTGACAGTTTAGAAAAGACTTTCACAAGATGAGCTTGTTGGAAACTCACTTCTGATGTTGGTCTTACGTGGAGGGTGGGCAGTATGCCGGGGCCACAGCCTAAGGCTTTGGAAATGGATGCAAGATGCGTACTGCATGTCCTGAGTAGCAGGGTGACGAGGGAAGGGACCCAGGGGACGGATGGAACCCAGTGCCTGAGACAGGGAGAAGTGTTGGGGTGAGAAGCCAAGCCAGAGGCAGCCTGCCCACCAGCCTCGCCAGCATGATCTGTGTTTGTTCAGATGAACCAGGCAGGTGTGGATAAAGTAGTCCAGGAGGCCCATGTACAATGTAATGAGAGCGTGGGGTTAGGTGTTTAACTTGAGTTCTCATGAACTCACCTGGGCATTCTCTTCCCACCCAATGTGGTGTTTCCTTGTGCATTAATGAAAAAATAACAAGTGCAAAACCTTAGCCAGGCCTTGGGCATAAGAGCACAGCCTGCCCGCTGGAGTCTGTTTCTATCCTGTAGATGACTTTACTCGCTGTGTTTGTGGGGTGTGAGGTGGTAGTGGAATATGGAGGGTCTGCTGTTCATTCACAGTTTTCCTGGCCAAAGCCTCTGGACTGGAAGCAATAGAATTACCACCTTAGCAGGGTGGGAAGACGTCCCCAGCTTGGTTGTTCATGGGCAGCAGCAGCCCTGTCAGCTTTAAGAATCTTCACAGTGTATCTGTACCTGGGGCTTTCTGCCCCAGAACACTGCCCCACTCTACGGCCTGTGGCAGCTTGTGTTCCCTCCAGTGTTCTGGTGTCTCCACCACCTCTGAGTCCCTGCCCAACTGCATCTCTTAGCATCCCACCAACCATGTCCAGGAACAATCATTGCTAGTATCCTGTGACGCCAGCTTTCTCTATATTGAGATGCATGTCTCCGTGATCCTAGTTTTCTTCTTGGGCACTAATCATTAAGAATTGTGTTTGTTGGACCCTCCCTGTTGTTGCAGTGGGTTAAAGCATAGCACTGTGAAGCTCTCCACAGCCACTGCAGCACACGTTCAATCCCCAGCCAGGGAGGTGACCCACATGGCGCAGCAGACCTCTCCTGATGCACTTGCTCTCCCCTCAAGTGGCGTACTTTGTTGATCTGCCTGTTCTGCTCTCCCCTCTGTCTCTGGTGAATCCTCTCACCCTCCGCACCTCTGGCCTGTATTCAGTTCTGTATGCATAAATAAATCTTAAAAAAAAAAAAAAAGTTGTGCTTGTTAGCTCTCAGGCTATCAAGTTGCACAGCCATTGTGGGTAGTCTTTTTTGTACCTATTTTGCTGCATAAACCCTATTGTAATTTTTAAGTTCCTTTTAATTGACACATCATGAATGTCATAAAATGTTGAAATCTTAAGTGTTCTGCTCCACCAGTTTGACAGATGCTCGTGAAACACAGACCTGCTCTAGCTCCCAGAAGCTCCCTGGTGCTTCTTCACACACTTCCCCCACCCAGGAGCCCCAGGAGCACCTGAGATGTGAGTTCTGTCACCCATGGTCCATGTTCGTCTGTTTCAGAGTTTTAGGGCAGCAGTTGCAGGTCTCCTTGGCCTCAAGGAAATATTTCTGAGCTTCATCTATGTTGTGTTTATGCCCTTTTCACATTGGCCCATATTTCTTTGTACAACAGATCCTCAATTCGATCCCCCCCACTCCACTCCACCCCACACCCCAGTTATCATCAAGCATCTGAATTATTGAGTCTGGGGCTATGGTGTGATAAGGCTGCTCTGAACACAGGTATGGGGGCCTTTGTATGGACATACATTTTTGTCTTACCTGAGATAAACATCCAGGAGTAGAGTCATTAGGTCATAGTGTAGTTGGGCCTCTTTTCTAGGAAACTGCTGAAGAGTTTTCCATTACGTCTATAGCATTTACAGTCCCTGGCCCCAGGAATACTTGGGATTTCTAGGTGTTTCTCAGCATCACTGTTCGGTGGTGTCAATCCTTCCCATTTGGCCACACAGTTATCTTACTGTGATTCATTTGTCCTGCTGTCTGGGCCATCTCGATTTTCTCCGTACCCACTTTCAACAGTTAGATTGCTTGCCCTTTCGTCACTGGCCTGTAGGATTTCTTTACACGTTTTGTATACATGCCCTCAATGGGTACATATGTTATGGATTATTTTCTTTTGACCTAAAGTTTCTTACATGAAACCTTAACAATTTTTTTTTTGAAAAATTTACTTACTTTTTTTCCAGTTGAGGTAATATTGGGGATCCCCCATGAGATATTACCCCAGTAGTGCACCCACCTCCAACTCAACCGTATTCTACGGTCATGGACCACGAGCTCCCTTCTCTTTGCTCTTGCCCCTCCCCCATCAGCAGTTTAATTTTAAGACATATTTTTGTAGTCATGAACGTCACCGTCAGTGGTAATAACTCTATTGTTTTAATGTTAAGGTTTTGATTTTAACAGCCACTTAATTGTGGGGGCCTTTGTCTGAAAGCCTTGCTGCATAGGCCTTTGGAAAGTGGCTTTGTCCCAACTTCATTCAAAGACATTGCATCCAAGGCACCAGGTCCCATCCTTCATCACAGATGGCAGCAGCGGGCACACGGGGGTAGCTGTTGTGCTTGCTTCCTGGGAAACCTGAGGGTCCTAGCATCCTGACAAGGTCGAGTCTACACACACAAAGATACATGCAAAGGTGAAAGCAAATTAGGGTGAGAAGCCAGCTTGTTTTGCCTTATGAAACATATGGAAATAGTTGCTCCACAGCATACAGCTGTTGCAATAAGGTTTACCATTTGAATGTTTGGAGGTAGATCACTTCTAAAGCCCAAGATTGCCTGGTGGGAAAGCAGATGGGCCCCTTAGACAGTCTGAAACGAACTCAGTATTTCTTCTGAAACACATGCTTAATTGGGAAATTCGATGACAAGTGGTTTGGAGATACACAGCCTTCCGAGACGCAGTGTTGGCCACGCTGGAAGCTTTGTCACTCTGGTTTAGATGAAGGTCAGGAGGAGGACAGGAACCTCCTCGTTTCTGAAGGTAGTTAACACAGAGACTTTTAAACACTCCAACTTTACTAGAGGCCTAAGCATTAATAGTCAAAGAAAATTTAAATAGATTAGAAGCACTTTTCTCCCTATTGGTCTGTAACACTAGATTGAGTTCAGGTGAGAAATGAGTCCTTTTTACAAAAGTTCTCACAAAACAAAATTACATATTTTTCACAGAAAAATTAGGTTATATACCTCTTTTCACAAGTATTAGATTTATTTTCACAGCTCAGTTTCTTCAGCCTGTTGACATATAAGCTGGTGAACTTTGAAATAAGCATCAGATTTCTATGGGCTTGAACACGAGAATATCTGCTGGTAATTTTCCTGGCCGTTAGTGATTAAAAAAAAATTGTGGCAGCTATTAATATGCCTCCATCTAGCAGCACTTCCAACCCTCATTTAAATTTTGTTTTTAATCATCTGTGGGCTGAGAAAACAGTCAAGCTTGTGAAAATTCTGTATAAATTCAGAGCCCCCTGTATGGTTGCAAGTGTGAGGCTTCACCACATGTGGAAAGGGGCTGAGGCCTCATCTGTTTTGATTGCTCAAGGGATTTGGGCCTATTTTGTGGTTCCTGGCTCTCTTTCAAAGATTATGGGTTGCCAAAAAAGTTCTATGTTACTATGGAACTCAAGAGCTCCATCAGTGTTCTTTCCTGTTGCAATTATTCTCGAGATGTACACTTGGAAGTTGCTCGGAAGCAGATAGCAGAAGAGGAGAAAGACGGCTCATTTCCATTTTGCAGACTGTGCAGTGAATTGAGCACCGTTCTGTGAGTCTGGTCTCAGCTCCATGTCTAACCTGTTATCCTTTGAGTCCCTCTCCCTGCCTCGCCCACCCCATCAGCGTTCTCATGGTCTCTCCCACCCTGGAAAGGTTGTGGGAACCCAGGGCTTGTTCTCTAGCTGGGTCTCGGAGAAAGGATGTCCTCATGGGGGGTGCTTGGATGGGGTGACCCTTAGAGGTAGGTCCAAAGGAGGACAGGGTCCTATTTCTTAGTGCTGCTAACACAGAATTTTTAAACATTTAAACTTAAATTTAACATTTCAACTCCTATTTAAATTTAAACATTGTCTCTTTTTTAAGATAAGATCATTGTAGGGCTCATATATTCACAGAAACAATCCTACTTGACTCTCTCAAGGTTGATTTTAAGTGTTCAGGCTGATCTGTTTAGCTTGCTTTCCTCTCCTGCCCTTCTGTGCTCACCAGTCAGGACCCAAATTGCAAACAGTAAAACGTTTATGAGCTGAATTAAGGAAAAGGAGAGTTACAGCTTATTACGTGAAGCTAGCCATAAATTCTCTTTATAGAAGCAGCTAGGTCACTAAGAAAGAAGTTAATTAAAGGAGGACTCCCTGGCTGGCTGTTTAAGGTAAAAACGCAGAGAAGAAAACAGACAAACCCTCTGTGCTAATGCATTTCCTCTGGGGACAATGTCCACTGCTGTTAGGCTTTGAAGCTAAGTTAGAGTATAGAATATTTTAAATCATACAATGAAATAGTTAGCTTAGAAGAAAATGCTCGGTGGCATCCCTTAGGTCTGAACATATTTAGCAAAACCAAAGGTGGAGAACCCACCCCAGAGACTCTCCCAAGAACACCATTCAAAGAGGCCCCTTGCAGAATTTACAGTGTCTATTAGCAAAGGACCATTTTTTCCCCACCTCCTTTCTCATAGTCTTGAATGCCTCTTGCATAGCTTTTGAAGGCTGCTGTCTCTCTTCTCTCCTGTCCGAATTAAACTTTCAACTTCTTCCTGTCAGTGATCACAAGGTTCCCAGGGTAGGGTTTAATGTGTGTATTTTTTTTTCCCTTGTGACACTTGGTGAAACTCTTTGTTCATGAAGAAAGAACATAAGGAACAACAAGGCCCTGAAGGAAAGGGCTGGAGGAGGGAAGAGTGATATTTGCATCTATCTGTTTCTAGGGCATAATGTAGGCACATCTGTGTAAGCAGGGAAAAAAATGCCCCCTGTGGGAGATGAAGCTCAGCGAGGTGCCTGCACAACTCCCTGGAATCCATTGAGCTGGGAAAACCTCCATGTCTCATTCTGCTTTAATCCACTCGAGAAGTCCAATAAGACTGTCGATTATAATATAACTCTGATAGGTTTGTATCTGCTTCTTGGACCAAGGCCACAATTCAACTGGTTTGGAATTTTCACAGATACTTTCACTGCTCTGAGTCAGGACTCCCACAAGCTGCTTTGGCCTGTATCTAAAGATTTCAGTGATAAAACCATTCCTGTTCCTGGCTTTTGGGTTTCATTCCTAGAACCAGTGGTGAGAAAGTGGAGGTTTACAGTGGGGAACCCATCCTTGAAGTAAAGTATAAGATAAATGTAAAGAGAGTGAATAGACTATGAGGTATATATGTGTCTATGATACCATTTTAGATAGCTAGTACTACTTGATTTCTCTTCAGAAGTAGTATTGGTATTAAACAAATACAGTGGAGAAGGAGCAAGAACACCTCAGATACCCCTGCAGTGCTCTTCTCTGCTGTGAGAGTGTGGGTAGCCCCTCTCCTGCCCAGATCAGGCACAGCTGAGTGTGGGGTTTTGTTGACATGGAAAATAATCACAATGACTTTAGGATGGAAAGCATTTCTGAATATATGGATCTTTATCCCTGTATTTAATCCTGTCAATTTTGTTTCGAGTGTTTATTCTGTGCAAGGCACCATATTATTTTAGTAGAGAATAAACCCTAACACAGCCCACAGCTTATTAAGAAGGTAAGACCTGGGCTCAGGGAAGACTCCATAGAGGAAATGAGAGTTGAACCAGGCCTTGAAAGAATGGTTGCATTTGGAAAAGCACAAGGTATGGAAAACAGATTCCAATTGGAAAGCGCAACAGGAAGGGGAAAACCCCCGAGCAAGAGCACAGTGGCCTGAAGAGTTTGCCAAGAGGCCAACACATGCCATTGTGCCTGACGACAGTCGCCACAGGTCTGGTGCAGGTTGCAGGCCACTGTCCACACCGGCCACGCAGAGGCAGGCTGAGGAGGAGGGGAGCCCTGAGGGCTGAGAGGCCCTATGCAGCAAGATCTCATCACAACCTGGATGGAATTGAAAGCAAACGTGAAGCTAGTTCTGAAACAGGAAAAAAATATATGGGATGATTAATAGAGTGAATGTGAGGAGTAAAGGAAGGTAAAGTGACTGAATCATTTCATCCGGGAGGGGAGTGCTGCCAGCCCGACCAGCATGACCGAGATGAGGAGGGCTTTCGAGGATGACTGGACTCACACCAAGTGAGAATAAGATAGCAATTGCAACAACATTTAAAAAGTGTTAGCTGCGAGCAGGTGCTTAACATTGCCATTAACTCACTGAGTTCTCTGGCCATCCCTCTGGCACAGGCTAACGAGATTCCATTTTTAAAGAGAAGGAGAGAGGAATAGCCATCGTAGTAGTAATTTGCCTGAGGTCATACGATACCATGTATGTGACATGTATGTGTGTTACCCTGAGCTGTTAAGTGACTTTTCCACCATCACACAATTGGTCTGTGGCAGGCAGGATTTGAAGGGAAATCGTGATGGTGTCCAGGGCCTTTGTTTTTTCTGTTAAATGTTCCTGCTTCCTATACTCAGACAACACCCAACAGAACAGCTTCCTTCTATAAAATGGTGGGTCATTTTCTGCTCCTGCTTCCTGCTCTAGTCTTTGAGGGGTTTTAATCATGATGGCTAACACTTTCTCTGTTAGGAGGAACCAAACAATTTCTGATGAGGGCCAGATAGTAGAGATTTCGTGTTTTCCTGGCCATAGGGTTGCTGTGACAGCTGCTCAACTTTGCCGTTGTAGGAAACGTCAGCCAGAGAAAACTCAGAAGATGGGCCTGGCTGTGTGCCAAGAAAACTTTATTTGCAAAACCAGGCAACTTGCTAGCTGGATGTTTCACCTCTGCAAAACTGTCTGCCCCTGCAGTTGCTCAGTGGAAAGGGGTTTCTGCACCCCGACACCCCTACATCCCAGCCATTTCCTTTCTGCCATTTTTTAAAAAAATTAGTTTCTCAGGGGAAAAAAAGTAACTATAATAAAGTAAAAATCAAAATCATCAGACAAGTATTGATCAGAGACATTCTGTAGGAGAGGAGAAGAAAGAAGGACCAAGACAGGGGCGGAAAGAGCACAGGGACTGTGGTGATGTGCATCGGTGAGCTGCTGCTGGGAATTTCACGGGGAAACCATACATTGTACGAAAATGAAGGATGGCGTAATGAATAGACTAAAAAATAAAACAATTTAAAAAAAGCCAGTTTCTCATTTCTACCCCATGTGCCTTGGAGGGTGTACAATAAAATGCCAATAGAACGGAGTTGGCTTACTTTTGTTAGGGACCTAATCTCTGAAGAGGGAAAGAAATATATGTAGTTTGAATTAGAAATAAATCTGTTTTCATTCTTCTCTTTCTGTTGTAGGCGCCTTGCACCTGGAGAGTCTGATAGAAGTTCCAAGACCAGGTCTGACCCCTTCCTCTGGTGCAACCTGCCACACCCATGTTTCGAGTGAAGGGCCCACATATGGAGAAATAAAGGTTGGCGCTTTGGATGTGACGAGAAGACACAAGTATGTTAGAAAGAGCAGATCATTCTTACCGTACTCTTCATGGGCGGCCTCTGCCTTTTCAGCAGTTAGGTTTTCAGATCCTGAAAACATGGAGCTTTTCTAACTTTCTAAAAATGGGCTGTTTTGAAGCAAAGACATGTGGATGGTTTTCTTAGAGGGCAGTTTTCTTGCTTTTGTGACCTGTCATAAGTCTCAGCCCTAGCAAGCTGTCACCAGCCACTTGGGCATGAGTTTGATCCCCGGCCAGGGAGCTAACCCAACATGGCACAGCTCTTGCCCTCTGCTCCCCTCAGCAGTGTGTTTCAGTAGATCCACCTGTTCTGCTCCCCACTCTGTCTCTGGTGAACCCTCTCAACCCCTGCACCTCTGGCCGACACGCCAGCTCTTGTATGCATAAATTAAAAAAAAATGTAAAAGACAAATGAAGCCACTTAAAATGCTGCCCAGTTTTTAGGAATGTCCTGAATTCTGCCATGTGAATGTAGGTAGGTTTCCATCACGTCTCTAGTCCTTCACGTCAAAGCTGGCAGCCTCAGGGAACCCACCGTTCCCCAGCACCCTATCTGTGGCTTATCTGTGCCCACTCCCTTTTCTAAGTGTCTGAGCTTCCCTGGGAAAAGTTCAGAAACGTCAGTGGAGTATGTGTATTGCTCTCCACCCCAGTAAAATTTCCTCTCTATAATAAGGGGGAGGAAGTTAATATTTTGAATTGCAAATTCTTCATTTTCCTCTTGAGCTCGTTCTCTATAGTCTGTGATCTCTCTCATGGAGGTTGGAGTGCTCTTTCAGTAATTTGGTCAAGCTGGGGCAGGGAGGGGACCCGCATTACTGTTGGTGCCTGTGGGATGCACAGCGTGCACACCTGGAGTGAGCAGCCTTAACTCTCTGTTGCCAGCTGCCCACGCCCTGCTGGTGGCCCCCACGCAGGAATGGACCTCCCGGGCTGCGTCAGGATGAACAATGGCCTAACTGTGGAAGTGAGTACTGATTGGATTTAGATTTCATTTTTAGCACAACTATGTCTTGGTCATCTTCTATGATTAGTACATGCTCTTGTGTGTTTTTTTTTTTTTTTTTTTTCTTTTTAAGTATTCTGGGCCCTCATACAGCCAGGCTAGGTCTTGCAATACAAAACTTAGATTCTGAGAAATATCAACCTTTGATGGCAGAAGAAAATTGGAATCCAGTCATTTGGGGCCTTTCTACCCTTTATGTAGTAGATGCTCCAGGATAACGTGTATATAAGTGTGTATATGCCTCCAAAGAGACATTTCCATTTCCACTGCTGTGGAAATGCTGAACTTTGCTGAAGGGGGTGGGGGTGTGGCTAGTTTGGGACTTAAGTGCAGGTCCTGTTATTTTCTGTTGATGTTCTCAAGGTTGGGAACAAAGCTAATCTCCTTTGAGGTGCTGGTCCTTTGTAAAAAGCCACAAAGTAGGGCAGTTAATTAGGTACCCATGATTCTTCTTTACCCAAGAAGAGACTAATGCTCACTGACTGAGAAAGGCCACTGGCAAACTCCCAGGGCAGAGAGATTGTCCAGAGGCCTTCGCCAGCCTCCACACTGAGCTTTTGCTGTTACCTCCTCTGGCAAATGGTTCAGTTGCTGCCTGGCCACCCATCATTCTTCTGGTTTTGTTCTTTACAAATTTACTGAGAGACAATTCACATGACAACAAACACTTGATATGAAATTTTCCATCAAAGTTCTACCCCTCACCACAAGTAATTTTACATTTTTTTATCATCCCCCAAAGAAAGTTCATTCCCATTAGCAATCTCTCTCTTCTGTCTGTGGGGATTTGCTTATTCTGGACATCTCACATGAGTGAAGTATAAATATAATAGCCCTTGTGTCTGGCTACTTGCATACACCATTGAAATTTTAAGTTCATCCTTGCCATAATATGTCATTAGTACCTTATTCCTTTTTTTGACTGAATAATATTCCAGTGTAGACATATATAGCATTTTGTTTGCCTGTTGATTGGTTGATGGGCATGGGTCCTCTAAAACTTTTAATTGCTATAAATAATGGTGCTATGAATACTAGTGTGTAAGGTTTTGTGCTTCACTTCTTCGGGGTGTACACCTAAGTGGAATTGCTGCACCCTGCATTAACTCTGTTTATCATTTTGAGGAACTTCTAAATGGATCTTTAAAGTAGCTATTCCATTTTACATTCCCAGTGGTCAAGTATATGACAGTTCCAACTTCTCCATGTCCTAGTCAACACGTTAAGTTCTTTGATTGTAACCATCTCGGTGAATGTGAAATTTCACCACATTGTAATTTTAATAAGCATTTCTCTAATGACAAGTGATGTGGAACATCTTTTCATGTGCTTATTGGCTTGTAGCTATCTTTTTGAAGATCTATTTACCTAGATCTTTTGCCTGCCTTGAAAGTGGAATTATTTTCTTTTTTATTGTTGAGTTATCTGAGTTGCTTTTTTCCTTTCTTTTAAGAATGCATATCTAACATTTCTCTCTTCCTTAGTACCCACCCTATTAAGTAAATAAATTTTAAAAAAATGAAAGAAAAAGGAAATGAGTCTATTTTGCTGTTAGTAGTTCTTGTAAAGATTCTTTTAATAAAGGAAGTTGCCCCTGGAAGGTGACAGGATGTTTGATTATTAGTAATTTCCCTTTTATCTGGCACTGATTTCACCAGAACGGGGAAGAAACAAATAGCAATTGTGTGCCAGGTGCTTTGCAGGGAAGCATTCTTTCTGCCATCCACAACTTTGCATAGAAAGTATTGTCTGCTTTTTACAGAGGCGGCAGCTGAAGTTCAGAGAGGTTGGATAACTTACTCAAGGTCACTCAGTTGTTCACTCCAACCTTGACCTTCACATTCAGGTTTATCTAGCTTTAAAGAAGGAGCCTTCTCATAACTCTTATCAGGACGCTGAATTTAGACATTTCAACAATCATAATTACTCACAGCTACCTTGAAAGTTTCTTTGACTAAGAAATGCCCTGCTATGTGCCCTCCTAACCCACCCTCATTAAGATGCATGACTGAATTGCTTGGTCTGTGGTCTTGACCTGCATAAGAAACAGGAGCCGAGCCGCGGCGAACGACAGTAGGAACTACTGCTGAATGTGCGTCTAGGTTTCTGGAAGGTTTTCCTGCTGTGCTCTGGGCCAGTTCTTCTCTAGTTCCCAGGAGTCAGTCTGTGGGCTGCCCTGTGTGGCTGGAACCGCCAGGCCCCAGTTCCCCAGTCCCCTTCCAGGCTCCGCTCCACTCCACCGAAGTCCATATGCAGCCCCTTCGCTGCTCATGCGTTCCTTCCCGGCTGCCCTGTGCGCACGGCCCCCGCCCGCACGCACGCGTGCTTCCGCCGTGCCGCCCACGCTGCTCACCCAGCAAATCGAAAGAAAGCTCTGCATTCTCATTGACAGCGAGTACAGAAAATTAGAATGCAACATGAGATGAACACCATAAAAATGCCGTCCACACTGATCCCACAGCCCCATAAATCATCGTGTTTCCTTAATCCCTTCATAACTAACACCTTGACCTGGTTTGAGTCGCTTTAACCTGCAGACTGCTGATCCTTTCCCCAGCTCCGCCCGTGGCTGTCCTGCAGGTATCCACAGACTTTATTACACAGACCTGCTGCAATTATTTTCTCTGCCCAGAACATTTCTCAACTTTATTGGACATTTCAAAATCTTTTTTGCAGAAGCAAGAAATGCTGACAGTCAAGCACCCCTGCTCCTTTTTGGGGTGGAATCATATTTATGAGTACACATATGTTCCCGTTATTTCCAGCTTCTATCTCTGTGTAACTGCAAAAGTCTTATCTTTCAAGCCTCAGTTTCCTAATTTCTCTTACTCAGGAAAAAATGAGGTCCCTCCCTTCTTTCAGATTTTGGCGAGCCTGCCTGCCCTCTTGGGTTTCCTGCATTTGTCTCATCTTGCAGTAGTCATTGTCTTAGGTTTACTCTGCATGAGTGTGAGTTTGGTGGGAGATGACTTTCCTGGGCCACCCGTGAATGTGCTCCTAGCAGCCGGCAGGGGTGTGGTATGGGGAAGCTTATTCTTCCACATACTGAATGTCTGTTTAACTTTGTCACTCCCTGCAGGGTCTACTTAAACCCCTGAGCTGTCACCACTGAATGAGACTCTGCTTACCTGGCCACCTTGCCCGTTGCCTTCTAACTCCTTTTCTTTGAACTCTTTCCTATATTCACAGAGGAAGCTCTCTTCTAGCACCTTCTGTAGGAAGCCCAATGTGAGATAAAACAGCAGTATTTTTAAAAGGATGTTTGAGTGGGCAAAGTTCGAATACAATTCATATCTGAAAAAAAACATCTATGATTAAAATTATTCGAGTACCAGTTTGGGACATTCCTGGGGAGAACAAGAGCTGCTTTACTGACCCAGTAATTTCACTTAGTTGGGGTTATTTTGATATGGAGATGAAAGAAGAAAATCAAATGTTTCTGGCCCTTACCTCTTAGAGACTCTGACTGGACTGTTCATGGAAAGATGCTGGGGTTTGTTCCCAGGCTTTGCAGGCGTGGGCTTCTGGATGACAGAGGGGAGGAAACAGGCATCTGTGATAGGTGCAGAACAGGTGCACAAAGATTAGTAACTCCATTCTACCTACTTCTGTATTTATTTGAAAATTATCCCAGTAGGCTTAGACCTTTTAGGCACATGGAATAGCTTTGGAATTAAAGCAGACCTGGAATTCAGGCAGGCTCTGTTACTGGCTGTGTGACTTGGACAAGAGGCCTCCCCTCTCTAAGTGTGCTTGTGTCTCCTGTGAAACAGCTCTATGTTGCAGAATGCTTTTGAGGATGCAAATCCACATATATCCATATACACAGAACACATAATTGCCTACACAGAGCTCCGTCTGTGTCAGCAAAGTTCTGGTCTAGCCAGTCCATGAAGACAAACCAAGCAGATCATATGTAGGAGGTCAGGTCTCACGCCTCTCATTTCCCATTTGCTGAGGTATAGGAAGGTCTCCTTTTCCTTGGGTCCCTTCTGAACATTTCCAGGAATCTCAAAGGGTACAGAACAGTCAATCCTGATGTCTTTAGGCCTCACCATCCAGTGGGACCCAGGGAAGGACATGAATCTCTGGAATGGATTGTAGAGGGAGCAAGCTGTTTTCACCACTCACATCTGAGATTTTTGTTTGTGGTCCATGCTGCCCACAGGCCTGCCTGCCCCACGGCAGAACTTGCAGCTCTGCCTGGACCTCTGGGTGTCTCATCTTCCCAGGCAACAGAGACACAGCTCTCCCTTCTTGTTCTGGCACATTCAGAGGGCGCTGCTGTGGCACCGGGTGGGCTCTTGGTGATCATTCGATGTGGGCATCATTCCGTTATGAGCCCACGAGCTGGGAGGCTCACGGTCAGGACGGGCACAGCTGCCCACTGCGTCAAGTGTCCCCTGGGCCCCCAACTCCACAACATTCCTTTGGTCTTCCTGCCTCTCTCTGTCCTTCCTCATCCAGGCAGTTTCTTCCCAGGGCCTATTTGTCTCTGATCCCATGTCATCTCTCCTTATTCACTGTCCCCCCCATCGAGTCTGAATAGCAGAAGGTTTCTGAATGGGTGATTTCACCCTGGGGTGTACCCCCAGATACTCCAACATGAAGAAGTTTCATGCAAATTCCATGATGTTGAAACTGCTTCTTCTCTCTGCCTGCTCGAGTCACAGACCTGACCCCCAGGACACTTTATAACATAATGCCAAACACTCAGAAATAGCAGAAGTGACTACTATCCAGAATCAGAATTTTCAGTAGTCGGAAGCTCAGAACAAACCTCGTTACAGGTCAGGAGATATGCAGGTGAATATCCCTGTTTTGTGTTTCACTGCACAAACATAAAAGGCACATACAGCAAGTACTATCTTGCTCGCCCTTTGAGGTCTCCTTCATGTTATTACATGCTTTTGTGTACCATCGGCTGTTACTAGGAGAGGGTGAATTATGAGGCAAATGACAGAATCAATTTAAAAATATCTCAGGAGATTTTTCTGGCCATTATCTGTCCTGTTCTCTCAGGCTGTGTGTGGGTGCAGCTTTAATAACCTTGGAGAACAAATAACATTTGCCAGTTGCAAAATTAGAAGCTGTGCAAGTTGACTGATAACTGTATTATAAATGAGCCTCCTAGTGCTGGGTGTGTCCTGGAGAGTAAAGGGTGTGGTTATTTAGAAATTGAAAAGAGGGGGGAAAACCCTGGGAGGAAAATTGCATGTGTTTAGGTTCTTGTATTTGAACTTTCTTTTATGGCCAGTTCTACATTCTTTCTCTTTTTGGAACTTTGACACCATGGAACCCAGTCAGGAATTTTTGCATGGCACAAACCTCTCCTGTCTCATCTGCTGCTCCCCTCAGCAGTGTATTTCAGTAGATCCACCTGTTCTGTTCCCCACTACTCTGATGAATCCTCTCACCCCCACACCTCTGGTCTGCACCCCAGCTCTTGTATGCATAAATTAAAAGTCTTTTAAAAAGGAAACCCAAAAGAAAGAAACCTATATAATGTTATAAACCAATGCTACATCAGTAAAAACAATTCTTCCTTTAATTTATAGCTCAAATAACATTTCATTTAAAAATAACCCCAGGAATTAGCTCAACCTATGCATGGCACTTACTACTATTCAGGATACCTTTTTAGTGTTCTTGATATTTTTTAAGTAGTGAAGCAGTACAGCTTGCTGTGTGGCCTGTGGGGCTCACCCAGCCCATGGGAGAAGCTGCCTGGCTTTGTTCTGTGGGTGCCTTGGTACCCCACCCTGCATTTGACTTGTGCTGTCAGAAGCAAATGGGCTGGACCACAGGTTTCCATGTCAGTGTGAGGAAGGTGTTATTTGAATGGCGAAGCCGGGAAGAGCACTGTCTCTGCTCTGTGCTGCAGCCGGGATCCCACTCCTTGACTCCAGCCTTTTGCTCAGTAAGTAAATCTCTCACCAGACCTCTCTTTGCCTTGTATTTAGTGGATTTCTTGATTTTGCTTCCTTTTAAAAAAATTACTAGATTTTCTTATTTGTAATTTGCCCAGGTCTCCCAGTTGCTGTGTATTAGTTCCCCTGGAGGACAGGTGTGCTGGTTTGAAGAGGGGCGACCTTTGATGCTGGAAGAGCCTGGTGGTAGAAGTTACCACCCCCACACAGACATCCCAAGTGGCTGTGTCTCCATTCAGCCGTCACTAACTCTAACCCAAACCCAGAGTTTGAAAAAAATTCTCCTTTTGTCTGGTTATGCTTATGAAAAGTATAAACAAAAGGTGTCATTAGACCAAATTCGTGATAAGCCTGGCTGGTGCTGTATGTTGGAGCAGCTGCTGTTTCCCTGGCATTCAGGAAGGTGGGGGACAGATTGGGAGTTGAGGCCAATTGCTCACCTGCAACTGTTCAAGATCTACATGTATAGTTGCATGGTTACTGAACACATGCCATTAGTCCAAAGCCACAAAATTACTTGTTGAACCAATTCATACTTGGTCAACAGGCTTCGCACTTTTACAGCATTTCACATATGGGGCTTCTAGACCACAGCTCAACAGTTGATGCTCATTTGTTGCACCATGGATACAGGCAATTTTTCTCTGTCATTCTGACTTTGAATAGTAATAATGATTAGTTTTGTTTTTTTTTTTATGTTTACAGGAATGTTGTTTTCTTTTCCTCCATATTGGAAATTAGTTTAATGGAAGAGGGAATAAGCACCACACTCTGTTCAGACTTCTTAAGTTAAAATATTAGAATCCAGGACCTTGGTAATTGTGAGATAAAGTGACAAGTCAACTTTTTAGTGATAGCACAATAAGAGATGTTATTTTAAGCCACACAAAGTGACACATGTTTAACTATTAATAGAATGCTAAATGGACCTTTTTTTATTATTATGGAATCTGTTGTTTATTTTTTTTTAGAGATTTATTTATTCGTACAGAACTGGGGTATAGGCCAGAGATGTGGAGGGTGAGAGGATTCACAGAGACAGAACAGGGAGCAGAACAGGCAGATTGATGAAGTACACTGCTGAGGGGAACAGTGGGTAGGTCAGGAGAGGTCTG